ACAAAAATTGGGCAGAGTAACGGCTGTATACGGGTGAATTCGAGATTACAAACAGAGAATGTAATCACAAAAACCTGCACACAAAAACAAACAAGCAACCCAATGTCTTGAGGTAAACCTCAAGAACTCTAGACAAAATAATCAGATAAGATCACAAGGTCTCCAAGATAGGCCAAGGTTTCTAATCCTAAGTCCAAGAAAAAGTCCCATGCTCCATAATGCCAAGGATAGTAACCAAATAGTCCAAGTACCATTAAAGATTTTTTAGGGTTTATGTTGATTATTAAGTATCTTAAGAAAGGAAAAGAAAAGCTCAAGTGAGCAAAGTAAAAATGGCAAGAAAATAAATGCTCAAATGAGCAAAGATGAAAATGGCATGAAATATAAATGCTAAAAGTAAATAGTACATAAAGTATAAAAAGAATAAAAGCATAAGGTAAAACAAGTCAATAATTAGTGGTTAGTTGGATGACCATCTTGAAACTTGCATTTGGAACTCATTAGAGGATTGGTAGAACCAAAGCCTCCACACAACAAGTTGCATTTGCTTTTTGTCAAGTATATCATCCATTTGGAATTCTCATAAGTACCATTTAATGATCAATGATGTTTAAGTGATCCGCATTGACCAAAGGTGTTGTAGATCCATTAGAAGATTGGTATAACCAAAGCCTCCACACAATGAATCTCAAGGTTATTGGATCAAAGAGATCAAATTAACATACTTAGGCTTGCAATCATAAGTTTGGGCCACGAATGATCATTTATTCGAATAGGGACAAAATTTAGCGCTATGTTAAGCAATCGTAAGTGGACTTATATAGAAGTCGCACCTATTTTGAGTCCGGTCAATAGCAATCTATGCACCATTTGTTTTGAGACATAATATAGAGATCATGCTCCAACAACATCTAGTGCAATAAGAAGGGGATGAGATGAAGAGGGATGGGGAAAAATACACAAACCACGTTTGAATTAACTTTTATTCAAACTATTATTAAAATCATTCATCCATTTTTGTGGAGTTAAACTCAACACTATGGATCCAATGCTGTTAATAAAGTTCATGATCCAAAATCTAACCCAAGATCAGCCAGAAAATAGTCACAAAATAATATCATATTTAATATACACAAAAAAGGATTTTTAAAAATGTTTTAAAAATAGAAAATAATGAGAAAAATATCAACTATGTTCAAATTAATCAAGAAATAAAAAATAGGACCATAGGAAAATTAGGAAAAGGCTCAATAATTTTACAAATTTTTTGGTAATTTTTTAAAGTCAGAAACTATTTTTAAAATTAAAATAAATGGGTAAAATAAACAAAAAATGGTAAAAAATATTAAAGTCAGAAACGAAAATAAAACAAGGTCACCAATATTTGTCACAATATCATTGGATTATTCCATAATTTTTTTCAGAATTTTAAAATGTATAAAAATATTTTTAAACATTTAAAATAAATCAAATAAGTGTAAAATTTATAAAAAATACCAAAACATAAAATTAAATTGTGAAAAAATAAAATTCAGACAAAGAATAATCAAAAATATTTTTCATAATTTTTTCAGATTTTTTGGACTAAAAATGAATTTTCTATGATTTTTTGAAATTTAAAACAATTAAAATATAAAAATCAGAAAAAGAAAATAAAAGTAAAATATGTGGACCATTGGATGAGAGTCAAAACACGTTAGTAATCAAATCCAAGGGATCTGGTGCGCTGTGCATATCTGGTCATTAGTGAATAATGTACATAATCATTAATTAAATCAGATTTGAAAAATACAGATGGCGCGCCTTCATTGGTTGGAAGATGACACGTTGGTCATCTTCAACCTCCAGCCATCACGAATTGCAGGTCTCTCGAACTGTAAAATCAGAAGCTCAGACCTATGTCATTCGCTTTGTCTCTTCAAGACGAAGACAACCACACCCTCATGCCAAATTTATATAAATTGTAGCTCAAGCATTTGGAAGGAAAGTTTTGAAAAGGGATTTGAAATTTCATGGTCAAAACGTGTTTCCAATAAAAGGTAAGTGTTGCGACTAGAACCAAGGCAGTGAGAACAACACAATGATATCAGAGTTTTGAAGAATTGATGAAGGAATCTATCTATTAAAGTTGAGTTGCAGATCTCTGAAACTGGACTTCTATAGAGCAATATAGGGCACGATTCTTGAATGTAATTATGTGGTTAGCTTCAGGGAAGATCAAGGAAGGTGAATTGATGGAAAAATTGGATTGAAAAAGGCTCGAGAATGGATTTTGAAGTTACAGAAAATTGAGTTATGGAGCAAGTTTGGCAGGGTGATTCTGGCTATCCAAGCTTGGTAAATTGAATGGGATAGTTCATGTATTTATAGGAGAAGCGAATGAGATCAAAAGGAAGAGTGAATGATGCGTTTTGGAGGGAATTCATGCAAACCTGATGCATGAGTGAAGTGTGATCCAAACTTTATCAAAACTCATCTAATTCTTGCGTTTTAATGCACTAATCCACTTGGGAAAGTTGGCTAATCATGTTTAGACCCAAAACGCGTGTTAATTTGAGTTTTAGAGGTTGTAACATGAAATTCAAATTCTGACTTGCAAGGAAACTTCAATTCCAAGTTACCATTTTTGAAACTATGGCATTCTCAGCTCAAGGGGTCTCAAGGCATGATTCTTGATGCTTTGGAAAGATGAGGTTACAAGCTTTGCAATGGAAAAATAATGGAATCAAATGGATGCTTGAGCTGAAAGTTGCGTTGAGTCAAAGTTGAAGAAAAAGAGTTGACTTTCCATACTTAGAAATATTTCAAATTCTTCTTCAAAAATGACCTATAATCTTTTGCATCCAAACATGGCCTTCCACTTGGAACTTGATCTTGACCAAAAAAGATGGAATGAAGTAGATCTCTTGAGTGGCATTTTAAAACTTGAACCACTCAAAATCTCCAAAAATTGAGCAAGTTATGACTTGTTGAAGTTGGCCAAAAATCATGAAATGACCTATAATCTTTTGTATATTTAAGGCAACTTCCATCCATTTTCCCACTTTGTACATAAAAGAAGGCATAAAGTTCACATCTTTAAGATCATTATGGAAAAAGAATGGACTCAAGGTGATGAAAATTGACCAAGTTATGATCATTTGAAGTTACTTATGTAAAATTGTGGATTCATCTGGATGACTTGTAATCTTTCTTCTTCACCAAGTTTCTTCCACATGAAAACTCTTTGGAATTTTTGAAGTGATTTGTTGATAACTATTTTAAGAGAAAGATGTCCTTGGAATCACTCAAAAATACCAAAAGGTGAGCAAGATATGCTCCTTTGAAGTTCAAAACCCTAGCTCCTAGATCAAGAAAATGCTTTGAGGAACTTTGACAAGTTTGAACAAACTTCTATTTAACCACTGTTTGATGATTTCTGATGATTTTTTGACAAAATATTTGATTTATGAAATAAGGGTTTGAGAGAGTTTTGTGTTTTGTTTTGAATGGGTTGCTGTAATGGGAGGGGAAGAGGCAGTGTGCCATATAGTTTCTCAAGAAACCGGAAGTATATTTCCAGTTATAAGCCGTAAGTATACTTCCGGTTTGCACTCAACCCTTCCAACGTAATTCATGTATAATATGGTGCGAATCGAAAATATATTTCCGATTTTGAGGATATTTATGAAATTTCACGTGATGCGTAAGAAAGTCATGGGATAGGTTAAGAAATTAATAGTTATATATAGGAAACTAAAATAAATAGGTTTAATTGCAACTTTGGTCCCCTTATTTAGTCTTTTTTTTTTTTAATTTTGATCCTCCCACTTTGAAAACCATTATTTTAGTTCCTTTTTAAGTTTTGTGTTTGAATTTAATCCCATTCAATTTGATGTTTATTTTAAGTGATGTGGCACAATTTTAGTTGAGGTGACATTGAATATTTTATCCACGTTATTTTTTTAATTCTTTTTTAATTTTTATAATTATAATTATTTTGTTCATTTTTATGAAATAATGATAATATAAAAAAAAATTGATTCCAATGGAATTCAAACTCAGAAATATTAGCACAACAATACTTTATACTAAGAGCCAAAGCACTATACTAACACTTTCAAGTTGTAATTAATTCCCTCAAAATTTATTTATAACAACCATAAAAATGACTACTGAGATTTAAATAGACCACTTAGTCATCAGGATAAACATGTTAAATATGAAAAATATGAAAACTTTGTAACTAATACAAATATATACTATGTAACTAATACAAATGCAAATCCTGCGGTATTAAACATGTTAAACCACAACGCAATGCAAATCCTGCGGTATTAAACATGTTAAACCACAACGCAAAGCCTAAGAGGTTGTTTTCTCTTGCAACGCGGAGTCTCATCCTCTCAACGAAGCACATAATTACCATCACAATGAAATGGATTATTAGGCCAACTCCTGTAGGAGTGTGATCCCTCCAGGGTTCTTTGTGTAGGATCGGATCGCATGAATAAAAGCACAATCATAGATCACAAGGCTTATCAGTGTGAAGATAACTATAAATACTATGAGACTTGCTGGTGGGATTTCGAAATGGGTCCCATTCTTCTATCAAGTGTAATGCCTTGTTTAAAGAAGAGTGTGAATGTTTGCATTACCATAGTGCTTGAAATAATTGTTATAATTAAAATGTACGGACACAAAATTTTCTTGTGAGCAGTATACGGACCTAGGTTTGTCACACGAAAAAGAAAAAAAAAAAAAAAAAGAAACTTCCAGGAAATTATCCCAACGGAAGATAGGAAAAGAAAAACGAACGAAGAAACCATGAATGCAATCTGACGAAAGCCATGAGGCAAGAAGTTGATACCATCATCCACTATAAACACGCCACGTGTTCATGCCAAAAGTCCGTCTAGGTTCAAAAACCGCCACGAGAGAGAAACCTTTATAAGCAACCCCTACTCTCTCTTTTCACACCACACTTTGTCATTTTCCAAATTTAGTAACTCACGTTCCTCATGGCTCTCGCTGTTTCTTCTTCAATCGCCATTTCAACTTCCACATTCCAATCATCTGAACCCAAACGTAATTTCTCCCTTCTTTTTTCATAATTACTATTTTTAATGCCGTATTCATTTCTTTTATTCAGATTTTAACTCTGAATTTCATTTTATGTTTCAGTTTCACAATTTGGTTCAATTAGGGTTTTGAAAAAACCTTATGGAGCAGGTGTTAAAGCTTCTCAACCACGGAGTTTCGTAAAGCCGATCAATGCCAGGGATTCCGATGTGCTTGATCTTGCAGAGGCTATTGAGACCGATGAGGAAGATTATGAACGGTTAGCATATCAACTTGAGAATGCTTCCCCTCTTCAAATTATGGATAGAGCCCTTCAAAATTTTGGCAATGACATAGCTATTGCATTCAGGTAAAAAATATATATAATCCATTTGAATTTTATTGAATTGAAGTGTAATAATATATCATATCATATCATGTGTTGATTAGTTGATTGTATTTCTAAATCTTGATAAATCCAAAAATTTCTAGTGTGATAGTTACATTGTTGCTTTGGGTTTGCAGTGGTGCTGAAGATGTTGCTTTGATTGAGTATGCACATTTGACGGGTAGGCCGTTTAGGGTATTCAGTCTTGACACGGGGAGATTGAACCCTGAAACTTATAGACTTTTTGATGCTGTTGAAAAGAATTATGGAATTCGTATTGAGTATATGTTCCCGGATGCTGTGGAGGTTCAGGCTTTGGTTAGAAGTAAGGGGCTGTTTTCGTTTTATGAGGATGGGCATCAAGAGTGCTGCAGAGTCAGGAAGGTGAGACCTTTAAGAAGGGCACTTAAGGGTTTAAGGGCATGGATAACAGGGCAGAGAAAAGACCAGTCTCCTGGTACTAGGTCTCAAATACCAGTTGTTCAGGTTGATCCTGTTTTTGAGGGAATTGACGGTGGAACTGGGAGCTTGATAAAATGGAACCCTGTTGCAAATATGAAGGGAAATGACGTGTGGAACTTCCTTAGGACCATGAATGTGCCTGTCAATTCCTTGCATTCACAAGGATACATTTCCATTGGATGTGAGCCGTGCACCAGGGCTGTTTTACCCGGACAACACGAGAGAGAAGGTCGGTGGTGGTGGGAAGATGCAAAAGCTAAAGAATGCGGTCTTCACAAAGGAAATATAAAGCAGGAAGATGATGCTCATCTTAATGGAAATGGTGTAGTCCATGCAAATGACACTCCCGATGTCGCTGACCTTTTCAATACCCAAAATGTAGTTAGCTTGAGTAGGACTGGAATTGAGAATTTGACAAGATTAGAGACCCGGAAAAAACCATGGCTTGTTGTGCTATATGCACCATGGTGTCCCTACTGCCAGGTACATTAGTTTTTCTGAACTTTTCGCATACTGTTGAGATTAGCTCACATGCTTATATGGTTGCTTTGTCTTGAAAGATTTCGTTTCTAATGAGATTTGTATTCAAATTAAAACAGGATATGGAGGAATCTTATGTTGACTTGGCAGAGAAGTTAGCAGGGTCAGGTGTGAATGTTGGAAAATTTAGAGCTGATGGAGAGCAGAAGGAGTTTGCAAAACATGAACTGAAATTGGGAAGCTTCCCCACAATATTATTTTTCCCAGAACACTCCTCGAGGCCAATAAAGTATCCCTCTGAAAAGAGAGATGTTGATTCCTTGATGGCATTTGTAAATGCATTAAGATGAGAGTTATCTAGAAATTATATTGTTTGGTTTGCAATCCAACTATAAGCACTCTTCTGGGTTCTTTCATTACAACACATATATACTAGTATCATTCATTCCACTGTGGAGTTTAGGAAAATAATAAAAAGTATTGAAGGTTGGAGAATAATGGGGGTTCCGTACAGTAAGTAGGGTTGTCGTATTAGTGTACTAGTACTATCTTTGTGTGTTAGTTAATTAACTAAAGTAATTATAGTTAAACTACATGAGTATTAATGTACTATCTTGGGGTCAAAATTTTATAACTACATGATGTATATATTCGATGCATGTGATTGTTCGTCCATATTGTTTGATATGGTAATGTCCACGGGTAAGTAAGTATAAGGACATGTGATTCTGTCGCTCTGGTTAGTTCAGTATCAAGCTCGTGAGTTATTGTCTGTTTGATTGGTATCAGAGTCCTCACATGTTCAAATGACAAACAAAGTAACTTGGTAGTTGTTATATTCCCTTGTTAATTTTACCTTACATCCACATAATTTATTTAAATTCGGCATATAATGATATAAATTTGGTAAAACTTCAAGCTTTCATGAGCTTTTTGTGATTTTTTTTTTCAAATAACAAGGTATTAAAAAAACACAAATAATTACGTTTCGGAAAAAATTATGCAAATAATCATGTTTTATAAATGGGTAAAATATTTCAGCCATCTCAAATGGCGCATCCATTCAAATTTTTAGAGGAGGCGTCAAATGAGATGGCGCCTAGGTGTATCTGATTTTCCCTAAGCCATCTCAGATGGTGCCTAGATGCAATTATTTTTTTAATTATTTTAAAAAAAATAAAAGACAATTTCGTCGAAAATGAGACTTCTATTTTTGATAATAATGAAACGATTACATGATGGAAACAAAATTTACATATTATTTAGTTGTCTCTCAGGAGTTGATAACGACTGTGATTCTGCACCCGCGTCCTCGCCTAACTCGTTGTGTGACTCAACGATTTTCCTATTGTGGTTGGATCGAGGGTCCTGCGAAGTCAATGCGTCCATGAAATCTGTCAGATCACCATATCTGAAATACTCGCTTTCAAACATTCGGTCTCATGCCCCAAAAGTGGTCGTATTGGTGGGGGATGGGGTTCCATGGGTGGTCGATAGCACTAGTCGTCTGAATAAGTGAGGTAAAAATGAAATGAATTTTGAGTTTGATACTTATATGTTTGTTGACTGCTATGGTGATGTGATGGTTGATGGTATATTAGGTCGGTTGGAGAATGTTCTTCAGGTAGGCATGTGTATGAACTAAGGTGAAATGATGAGAGGCCCACATCAAGATGTCAGAAGTATGGTCTTTGTTCTTGGTATTGTGATTGTGTGTGGGGCATGTGTGTGTATTAATATTGGTCTTGGGTTTAGGGTTGGGTGCTTGTGGATTTGTATCGTCGTTGTGTTTGATGGGAGGTTGATGTGTGTTGGGTTTGTTGTTGGGGTTGTTGTTGGATGGTGTATGATTGTTGGTAGTGATGTTGGGGATTTGAGAATGATGTCTATCGTGTGCGTGAGTCGATCAAATACCTCGGGTCAGCCACAAACATTTCAGGGTTAGTAACCGATCTGTACCAATTAATATATTGATTTGTGTGCTGCACATCATGGTTTGCAGGGTAAAAAGGGAAATCTAACACATGTCGGTCACGCCTCTTCCACATCTTACACCATTTCAGAGTAAATTTGTTTCAATTGTTAACACCCCACTGGACGTCGGCCCTAAGGAGATGTCAAGGTGACAAACAAGTCAGGACAAACGGCATTGTCTTGATGCATGCCGAACTGCATTTTGACATAGTCGTTGTGGTGTATCTCCATAATATTGTACCATATGATTGCAGTTTTTGCATTCCAAACTGCTGCATTTTCAGGGTTGGGTTGATGGTCCAAACTCAAATGTGGTCTCCAAAGAAACTACAGCTAAAATTATACTATAATAGAAATAACTTAAAAAATAAATAAATTAAAAGAAGAAAAGTTTAGAGGTAATACATACATCTTATGGGCCAATGTGATCCAAAATATTACGATATATAGCGACATTTCGTCTCAGATTCTTGCTGTAATGCATGCCCCTTACACAAAACCTAAAACAAAGAGAGAAATAATAAATTATGTATAACTATTTATCATAAATAGAGAAAAAGTAAATAGAGTTATAGGGGAACATGAAGGTGTTGTTGTTGATGGGGTTAAGGGATCCCATTCTCCACCAACCCCATGCTTGGAGCAACAAAGTGCATCCATAAAAAATACATGTATTTTTTTTTTTGCATTTTTACATAATGAACTGTATAAATAGGCTAAAACGGCGGAATACCAACTATACTCTTTTATTTTATCAAAGTTCCTAAGAAAACTTAAATACATAAATTTGACACGATTACCTGTACTTTTGGAGAATAACAGACTTTCAAATAGCATTATAATATAACTTTTGGCTTTAACTATTTTAGCTTCCTCGGACGAATTTTCATTCAACTGAAGAGAGCGATAATGTAATTTAAGGTCCGTTAGTAACATACCTTGGCCCCTCTCACCTATTCCATCTACCATATCTTTTCCCAACATTTCCTCATAAAGAGAATTGGGTTGTTGAACCGACCCATTCACCATCTTACCCCCCCCCCCCCCCTCAATAAGGAGACTCATCAACATGTACACGTCCTCTAGTGTGATGGTACAGTCATCAATTGGGATATGAAAGATGTGTGTTTCGGGTCTTTGCCTTTCTAATAATGCGAGTATAAACCTCGTATCAATCGTTCGGTTATAAATATTAATAACATGTCCAAAACCGACAAATTCTAGATATGAGATGATCAACGGGTCAGGAGCAACATAGGAGTGTGAGCGACATCGAAATTTAGATGTATCCTACATTCAAAATGCATATATAAATGAATTGTGTATGACTAAATTTAAATGCACATATAAATGAATATATTAAAAAATATAAAATGAAAATATAAATGAATATATTAAAATTTACAAATGTGATAATGTTTTCTTTTATTCCTCTATAAGTATCGCCCATGGTGAGGAGAGCCATAATTGAAAGTGTTTTAGAAATTGTACCAGAGAATGTAAGAGTGTGTATCAGAGAGTGAGGATTAGTGATGCATAATAAATCATGTGTGGACAGTATTTATAGACGAATGGGTAAAGGGTTGGTATAATGAGGTGGTTAAGGGTTGGTATGCATGTCAGACACGTGTCTTCCATAAGCCAAATTAAATGGTGCCTACATGCAAAGTAGAAGGTATGTGCCATCCCACTTGGCGTGTGGAGGGCTAAGTGGCATATAGGATTCAGAAATACAAAGGTATGCTACTGATGGCAGCTGCACAAGATGGCAACTGTAACATTTTCGCAATTGCCTTTGCTCTAGTCGAGGGAGAGATTGGTGGTGGTTGGAGTTTCTTTCTTAAGAATCTCCGAACACACGTGGTTCTGGAACCTGGTCTTTGTTTGATCTCCAACAGACATGATTTTGTTTAGTGCATACAGTAATCATATTAATGGTTAGCATGACCCCTTTCTACACATGTCTACTACATTAGACATATCATATAAAATTTCATGTGGGAGATCAAATACAGGGCTCTTCGGAAAACAATTATGAACGCGGGGTATGCATCAACACAACCATCATTCAAACATTATCGTAGCGAGATCAGATTGTCAAATTCGAATGCGGGTAGATGGGTTGATAATCTTCTAGTGGAGAAATGGACGAGGTCATACGACAATGGACAAAGATGGATCCACATGACAATAAATCTTGTTGAATCAATGAACGGTGTCTTCAAAGGCATACAAAACCTCTCGTAACCGCTTTGGTGAAATCAATATATATTAGGATGGCTTTGTTGTTTGTAAAAAGAGGTGAAAAGTGGAACGCGATGTTACAATCGGGACAACTGTGGAGTGGAAGTTGCAAGAAATTTATGAAGGCAGAAAGTGCCAAAGCCAACACCCATCATGTTACAAGATTCGACCAACATAATCATGAGTTCATTGTCAAAGAGACAATTGACCATAACGAGGGGCTGCCAAGACAAGTATAGGGTTCTACTACCATCTCGTTGGTGCGACTGCAGAAAGTTCCAAGTCTTTCGTATACCTTGCTACCATGTCAATGCATAATGTACATATGCTCATCAAGATGCATTACTACTTCTATCTCCCGCTTACAAGGCTGAGACCTTGCTCAACGTATACATCAATGGCTTTCCAGTGGTAGCAAAATAGGATTATTGGTCTGCGTACGAAGGGGAAATAGTTTGGCACAATAATCAAATACGAAGGAATAAAAAGGGTCATCCCAAAAACAAGCGTATCACAACTGAAATGGACGCGCTTGACAGGCTAGAAATAAGGTGTGGTGTATGCCATCAGGTTGGACACAACAGAAAAAATTGTCTCACTCGTGCTACTAGCTCAACAGCATAAAAATTGTGTGCATATGATATGAATTTTTTAAAGATCTAAACGAAACATTTTTTCATTAAAAACATTTGTAACAACATACCAAATGCAAATAAGAAATAAAATGACATCACGACTTAAACAACAACACATACGCCAGATGAAACAATAAGACATACGCCAGATGAAACAACAACACATACGCCAGATAAAAGTAACATCAATAACATGACAAAATATCTAAAAATTACAAATGTTAAAACAATTTCAACTGACCCATGCATCATCATCATTACATCCATGTCATTTTTGACACCCTCCCACTAACGTTGAGGTTTTACGGTCGCAAGTGAGGTGGTCGTTCTTTGTCTCTGAATTCTTTTAATGACTTTGCCATCTTCGATTTCTCTGCCTAACCATCGAATCAACTCTTTCTTAAGACACACCATAGAATGGATATGCCAAAATTTCATTTTAATCGGAGTTTGGTGGCCGAGAAAAAAACATAGCAATCTCTTTTGAAAATCATGTT